ACCACTGGGTGGCTAGGTTCCCCAGTAGTACCCTTTTGGCTTTAGGGTTTAGGGTTTAGGCTTCTGATACTCAACCACTGGGTGGCTAGGTTCCCCAAAGGTTCAGGGTTTGCTATACGGGTTCAGGGTTTAGGGTTTAGGATTTTTGAAGCGGGTTTAGGGCTAGGTTCCCCAGTAGTACCTCTTTTTGGCCTTTTTCTTTTTGGGTTCCCTCAATAAAACCAAATAGTAGGAAAAAGGGTACCCTTATTATTTAGAGGCTACTGGGGAACCTAGGTGGCCTGCGCTTGGTTTGGAGTGCATTGGCTGAATAGCTCTGAGAACTGGGTGCTGGCAAGTGGCCTCAATGACAGGGACGCGGTCTTCCAATATTTGAGCTGCCTGCTATGGGCCTTTTGCCAGCTCGGTGTGGGCGAAAGTCCGCTCCTTCCCACCAACAAGACCGAGATGGTCCTGAACAGTGTCGTTGGATTCCGATCCCTGGTCACCTCAGCAACTCTCATCAGCACCATGAGCGGCCTTATCGCCGGTCTGCGCAAGCTGAGGGAAGATGAGATCTCCGAGTTCCGCCTCTTGCGCAGATATCTGCAGCAAAACAGCATTCCGCATGCCCTGGGCCAGAAGGCCGCCCCAATCAAGCCTCAAACTTAAAGCTTTTTAAACCTTACCCTAAGGGTCCCAAGGACCCAATAATAAGGTACTTTGGTTGCGGATAGTAGTTTTCTAGCTTAATATTAGGGAGAGTCTATGATTGTTAGGTACTTGGACCCTTAGGGTTACGACCCTATGAAACCCTTTTGGCCAACAAAAAGCCGAAAAGGTCACGCAGTTTCTTCAGCATCAATACGCGGCGAGGCAACATGAAAGGTCACTACATATGCATGTGCCACTCCTGAGCCTCCTGTCTCGGCCGATGTACCAAGAGCTCCAGTGTCTGGGCTCATCTAAGGCAAGTTAATATGTGTTCAGGGTTTAGGTATGGGTTTAGGGTTTATTGTCAAGGAAGTTAGTTTAGTAAGTTACCAAGCAAGGGGTATATATAAAATCGAGTTCTGTCCTTATTGTGGCGACTCACAAGCTAGTTCTGCAAAGAAATTGAGCGCCCCTACAACTCCTGGAAAACGCTTCTGAACCCCTTAGACTGGGTCTCCTTAGGCCTTAGGAATCATCGTTCGTCTTTCTTGTAGTACATATAAAAGCGGTTGTCAAACATACTGCGTGCCTTTTTTAGTGCAACGTCCGATGAGCTCATCGTATATTACAGAGGTCGTAAGATTTTGTAATAACACTCCCTGCAGCCCCGATGTACTTGTACTATGTTACACCTCAAAACCTTCTCCAATTCCACCAACCATCTCATAAACATTTTGGTTCCTTAAACCCTAAACCCTAAACCCATCCCTTAAGAAGTTCCAGGTTTGAGAGACATCGCGTGGCACTCTCGAAGATTGGCGTGGTGAGGGAACTCCTTGAGGTTGGCACGGAGCATATGTATATTATATATATATATATATATAAATAATATTATACATATATCTTATACACTTATCTGCATATATATATATATATGGATGGTCACCCCCCCCCCCCCATGATCTACCCGTTCCGTCTTTCGTGAAGCCAAAGCCTTCACGTCTGCACATATATCGCGACTACCCCAAGCATTCGTATATTCTGCCTCAGATTTTGTTAAGGGCCTGAAACATCACCGAACTATGAGCCATACATGTAAATCCGAAGTGCTGTGTGCACCTTGCGTCCGGACTCATACACCTTGATGGTCCGGCAGGGGGATGGTGTGCATTGTCTGCACACCTTGCATCAGCATCTTGGTGGCAGAGAGCATTCGGGGTACGATCGAAACCATGCTGACCAGGAACGTAAGGAGAATGATCGCGCTCATTTCTGTGAAACCCTAAACCCTAAACCCTGAATTTTACTAACGATAAGAACTACATACGACAACTGGTCTTACCCCAACCTTCTCGCGGCGCAGTGGGCTTGGGGCCGTCGGGCCGTTTCGGCCCAGGGGCGTTGTGACTTAACGCCGGGGTTTATGATGCGATGGGTTTAGAGCTTATAGGGCTTAGGGTGTAGAGTTCAGGGTTTAGGGTTTAGGGTTTGCTTTCAGGTAAGGCGTCGATTTCAAGATCAGTGTTTGGATAGCAGGCTTAAAAGAACCACCCCTCTCCCACGCCCCTTCCAAATAACACCCTGCTGAAGCAAAACCCGAAAGCCGAAAACCTACGCCTAAACCTTAAATACCTTCAAACCCTACACCCTAAACCCTAAATACCTTAAACCCTAAACCCTAAATACCTGAAACCCTAAACCCTGAACACCTTCAATCCTAAACCCGAAATACCTTAAGCCCTAAACCCTAAACTCCTTCAAGTCAGGATGGCCAGTGAAAGCCTCGTTCCGATCCTCGGGGCCGCGGGTGATTCGATCTTCCTCAGCGGCCACGTCGCGAAATCCTCGTTCCTAATGATGACCGGAGCTCCAGTCTCCAGTGTAGTATCTTTTTTTGGGGGCTTGGGGTTTAGGGTTTAGGATTGTAGTCCCTTTTTTGAGGTTTAGGGCTTAGGGTTTAGGAGTGTAGTCTCCTTTTTTGGGGCTTGGGGTTTAGGGTTTAGGATTGTAGTCCCTTTTTTAAGGTTTAGGGTTTAGGGTTTAGGAGTGTAGTCTATTTTTTGGGGGGCTTGGGGTTTAGGGTTTAGGATTGTAGTCCCTTTTTTGCGGGGAAAGCCAGTTTTACATTAGGGATCCTAACAACTGCAACGATTACCGGAGTTCTGACCGAGTAGTACAGTAGGTATCCTTTAATTCTTTTAGGGTACTATATAGGGATACCCCAGTACACTCCGAAAAGTTAACCTGTAGTTCCTAACGATGACCAGGGCTCTGACAGAGTTTTACCAAAGGTTGTGATAGGGGAATACTGAGGAATGTTTGGGTTCATCCATGTACTTGTGGTATATATCCCAAGGCCTATGTTGACGATTTGAGGTTTTGGGGCTTATAGGGGTTTAGAGAGTTTAGGATTCGCTCTTTCATCAAGGCTTACAGAGTCTGTAACCATGAGGCTGTGGCATCGTTCAGAGTTTTCGGGGCCGTGACAAAACCCTAAACCTTAAACCCTAAACCCTAAACCCTAAACCGTAAGACTAGTACCAGTACGACCGGTACTGAGAAAGAGGGACTCCAGACCCTAAGCCCTACCTATAGTCTCCATCGTAGTTCCTTCTTGGGGATACCTTATACAACCCTTAATATATAACTGGTTCAACCAAAAAAAGGAACTACAATGGAGACTATGGGTAGACTCTAAACCCAGTTCAGTGGGAAAAAAGCCCTGCAAAGCATAGGACGCTTGTGCTACTACCGCGCCGACAGCTCTGAGATCCTGGACGATACGCGCTGGGTTGCGGAGATGTGCCTCTGGGCCCTTTCGGCTGAACATGAAGGCTTTACACCCTGATCACTATAACCGCTGCACTCTGTGCCTCAAGCTCTAGACCCTAAACCTAGATCTAAGGTAGAACCCATGGGCCCCTAGTATGGGCCCTTAACCCTGGGACTCTAATATAGCTACTATATACACTATATATACCCTTAAGGGACCCTAGAATCCCCTAAGGGCCCATGTTAGGGGCCCATGGGTTCAACCTTAGACTAGAGGCGTAAACCCTTGCTGGGAGCCCTCAGTTGCTTCTCGTCTTTTTGGAAATGGCGACACATAGCGACACCGACTCCGAATCTCGAGACAAGGAATACCCTGCACAGCTTACTTGTGTAGACGGGCAAAGCTTGAAAGAGGCCCTTGATTGAGTTAATGCTACCCAAGAAGGGTTTGATGACCATGATTTGGTGCCGGTTTTGAACCCCCCACACGCGTGAAGTTCTCGGGCTTCCGTGAGTGTTTGGTGTTCAGGGAACCCCGATCCTAACCCTAAACCTCAAACCCTGGACCCTCAACCGTAAACCCTACCATTCAGGGCCCCTTCCTTTGCGAAGCAGGAACGGTACGTCGGGGCTTCGGGCTAAAGTTTGAGTTTCGAGGTCGAAGGGTTTGGTGCAATGTCCGAACTCGTCGCTGCTGAAGCTTACAGTCTAAGCCCGAGGCTCTCTCCTGAAGCCATACAGCTAAACCCCATACGCCGCAAGCACAAATGTCACCGAGGCACCCTGGGTGCATATGGGTGATTTGGAAGCGCAAGACACCTCCGAGCTCCTGAGTTTGGATGCCGACGGCTTCTGCGCGACTCTGGGGCACAACTGGGAGACGCAGCGTGCTGCCAGCAGGCTCGGGGGTTTAGCAACTCCGGTTTCGGGTTTGGCTTTGAAGTCTCGGGAGTCAAGCGAGGTATGCTCGCCGCTTCGTGGATGCGGTGCAGATGCTCGGCTGTCCTGGCTCCAGCTTTTGTCGATCATGCTGCTTCTTGCTGATGCAGCGGTGTTTGCCTTGCTTCTGCAATGCAAGATGCTTTCGCCACTAGCACCATCGTCACCAGTCGAATCCACAGCATCATTACATCACTCACGATCATTGCCATTTTCGCCATCGTCATCGTCATCGTCGTCGTCATCGTCAAACAGCATCATCATATGTTTCTTCGTCAGCATCATCACCGGTAGCGGCCGTGGAAGCAACATAAGCAGCTGCGTCAGCGTCAGCAACAGCATCACAACGAGCGCTGCGGCCGGCAGCAGCAGCAGCAGCAGCAGCAGCAGCAGCAGCAGCAGCAGCAGCAGCAGCAGCAGCGGCAAGAACAACGATAGAGGCAGTGCGAGCAAGCATAGCGGCAGTGGCAGCAGCTACAGCTTGTGAAGCCAGTACAAGTCTGTTAGAAGGAGCAACGTCGGTGAGCTCAAAGTAACATTTACCAAGACGGGGATTGCAGTAAAGCACACTGTGGGCAACATGCTGGTGAAAGATGATATTGGTTTTCACAACTGGAACAACACAACAGAAATGGCAAGAGTAATCCTTGAGTACTGATGAGTCAAGCTGCCATCACTACAGCTAGGGCGCCCATGCGAAAGTCTACATACACAAACACCTGCACATTCACTGAGTTTCGATAGATTTGGTAGTCGCTAGATTGTATTGCAACAAGAGCTGTTTGTTGTTTGCCATGGTATGCAAATCAGACATCGACGAAGGAAGCAGTCCTTCTTGAGCGACATCTTCGTCGATCGGAACTCGATCTTAGATCCTACTCCCAAGCACGAGGAGGACTTCAAGAGACAGGGGGAGTAGCTAATCCCCAAAGCAGAAACGTGTGACACAGAAACCCCGAAGTAGCTTTGGAGAGATGAGGTTTGGCCATGAGAAGGGATATTCCACAATTGACGCTGCTGTCGCCCCTTTGCCTTCTGCTCTTGCGCAGCAAACCTCAGAAGACCATCCTGAACTGGGCACCCTAGATACCAAAACATATCAAATGCCAGGATCATCTTGAAGCTTCAACCCCAAGAAGGTTTAGGGTTTAGAGTTTAG